ATCTATTGAACAGAGAACACTGTTCGGTTCAGGTGTGTTGATCAGCATGGTACGGTTCAGGTGTGTTGATCAGCATGGTACGGTTCAGGTGTGTTGATCAGCATGGTACGGTTCAGGTGTGTTGATCAGCATGGTACGGTTCAGGTGTGTTGATCAGCATGGTACGGTTAAGCATGCATATTGTAATTGCAAGTGTACATAATATTGAACTTCTGGTGTCAGTGACCTGATGCGAATTCAAGGGCAGTCCTCCCGCCCTGTCACACACACGCACACACACACACACACACGCACACGCACATGTGCGCACGCATGGGTGCAAACATACACAGATACACACGCACCCACACACACACACACACGCACACACACACACACCTCAGACCTGCCCATCGCGGAAGCGATGATAGCGAACAGCTATGTTAGACATAGCAACTTGTGCTGGGATTACACCTTTCAACAGCTTGCAAGGCTGATGAATTGACCGCCACTAATTTTAGCCTGGAATCCACCACACAGCTGTTTGAAGTGGCTTTTTCTGGCCAGTGAATCCCTATTTTTCATTCTTTCATTTTTTTACATACACACACACCACACCACATACTCTGGCATACACTGGCTGTTGGTGACCACCCAGGAGAATGAAAGAAGAGCTAGGAGAATGAGAAAGAGAAGAAAGACGTGTGCGACCATAATCGTCGGGAATTGAACCTGCAACCTCTCGATTGGAAATCGACTGCACATACCACTGCACCATATGGGGACACACACACACGCACACACACACGCACGCACGCACACACACACACACACACACACACACACACACTACTACTACTACTACTACTACTACTACTACTACTACTACTACTACTACTACTACTACTACTACTACTACTACTACTTGACACAATCTTTATTAGGAAACTTGAAATGGAGATGTGAAACACAAATACAGCCATGTAGATGGAGCAGCAATGCAATACAATGTCCAAAAACTCAAGAATTCATTATCATGGGGCAATGTTGGGCAAATGTCTGTCAGGTACTATCACGCTCAGGCTGCCCGCAACCTGCACATCGTCGTGAAATTCATCCTGTTGCGGCGGTATGACGATCTTGAACCACGCAAACAGGTGACTGCCCATCGCATAAGGCAGACTGACAGCTTACAACGGAGCTGACCCATGATAACCGATACGTGTAGGTCGACGTTCTTCTCAGCAATCAGGCATGCCAGTGTCTTCAGTGCCATTGAACATTCTCTGCCAATCATGCCCGAGGTAGAAAAAACTAGCGGTGTAAACGTACCTCTGTCAACTGCTGTCACCCGCTCTCCGTACTGGCGCTTCTTCATCCGTTCATGCGTTCGGAGCTGGCTGATGACTTCCTGACGCGACAGCAAGCTTGCCTTTGGGTGTGTAACCCGGATGTCGAAAAAGGCATCTTGCTGTCTCGTCCAGAAGCCACAAGCCCGGATGTCCAGGCGGGCACCTGCCGAGCGGTTGGCTGTCCTCCCTTGGAGCCGCTCACCATCATATGGTAGTAGAGGCGGTTCTACCTCCACATCCCGGACCGCCTCACGCATCACGTCAGCCAACAAGTCCCGGATCTCATTGTGGCGTGCCATGGGGTAGCCCCCTGCCGGACACATCATCGCATGGTCTATTGTGTTTGCAGCACCACATACACAAGTCAGGGGGAGTCCGTCAGGCTGCAGGCCGTAGCGGATGCAGAACGCATCTCGGAAATCCGATTTGTTCAGCACCATCTGCATTTGGGACGATGGTTCCGCCGTTACCCAAGATGATACGCCCTTTTCCGCGGCATTCTCCACCAACAGCGCCTGTGTTGCTGTCAAATCCGGGCGCAATTCGCTAACGAGACCCGTGGCTTGGGCAGCTTTCTCTCTGCGAATACGCCCGGCCTCCTGCCGGCTGAGGGCTATTGCCTCGTTCAGCTGGTCTGTTTGAGTAGTTTCGTTGGTGCTTGTTGGATGTTCTGGTGGTCTTATGCAGGCCGCCACAGGAGCCACAATCTGTCTGGATGCAGAAAACTCTTTCTCGGCCTCCACCGAGGGCACAGGGATTGCCATGCCACCAAACCGCGCTGGTAGCGATAGCAACTTTCTCAGTGCCGACTCGTCCGAACACGAATGGCCGCTGAGCGCTGGCAGCAGCTTGTCCGTAATGGCGGCGTCGAGACGGGCCAGAAGATGCGCAGGGCAAGATAGGACGCGCAAGTGGTACCGCCACTTGGACACGAGGCCCTTTACAAACACCTCGTACGCAGCATGTGGCTGAGTGGTGGCCACCTCCGCCAGGCGATCAACCTGCAGCGTCCACTTGTCGATCAAATCTGTGATATACTCCTCACAGAAGACCGTTGTACCGAGTGCGCCGCCAAGATAACGAGCACCCTCGGTCACAACACGAATGCCCGTGTCCCTGAAAAGCTGGAGTGCCAGGGCCGAATGCTGCTCCTTGACAATTAGTGTTGTCTTGTTCGCTACTACTACTACTACTACTACTACTACTACTACTACTACTACTACTACTACTACTACTACTACTACTATGTACAGCTACCCTATCGGGCCACGCCGCTCCCAGAAGCGGGAGACAACGACAAGAAGAGAGAAGAGAAGAGAGAGAAATCGCAAAGTCAACAGTATTGGGCATGGCGTTGCAAGTCCTGTGGCCTTGAGAACCGCCTTTCGCAATGCTCGCATTCATGACGGCAGTTGTTCCTGGCTGCACGTGACATCCGTTTCGCACGGTCACAGTGATGACGGCTCAAACCAGAACGGGAGCGGAAAGATCGGCGACAAACATCACATCGAAAAGAGTCAGATTCATGGCGAATAGATACAGTAGGGACATCCGTGGACACAGGACAGCGATGCACAGCCAGTCCTCCAGCGCTCCTCAACCACCGCATGCACTTCATACATTGCCTGGCACCCTTCTGTTGTGACACAGGCAACTTCCGCTGGGCAGTGCACTTGTGTCGGGCCATGTCGTTACGGCGGCGGAAGTCTCTGGCACACAGCAAGCAGCGCAAAGGTGGAAAATCATCTGGGTGCGGTGGTGGCTTAGCAAGGAACATCCTCCAGTTCTGCCGGTCTTGGGCATTCTGAAACCAGGAGTCTACGCCAGCTGCCTTCATGTCTCTCTGGACAACATCTTCCCAGCGCCGCCGGGGACCACAAGGAGGGCGACGACCACTCAACCTTCCAAACAAAATCTGGACGGGAGCACGGTCTGCAGGCATGCGCGCGACGTGCCCGAGCCATTCCAACCGGCGACGCCGAACAAGGTCTGATACGGGTGTAGTGTCCCCCCAGCGCGCACGGAGCGTTGCCGATGAGATTTTCTCCTCCCATTGCTGACACCAAGATACACATAAGATGGAGCGAATGCACCGGTGGTGAAAGTTATCCAGCAGATCCAAGTCGTGCCGAATCGGAGCCCATGACTCAGCACCGTAGAGTAAAACCGACAGAACACAGGCTGTGTACAAATGACGCTTTGTTGCCACCGTCAAGCTGGTATCCCGGAACACTGGTAGAAGGCAGCCAAACGCCTTTGCCGCATTGGCAATCCGTCGCTGCACACACACATACACACACAAACAGACCCTGCGAGCTCGGAGTCGCTTTTCCTCCCAATCATCTTACGGATTCCAATAGCCCATGCTTGCGTCATCTATGCCATTCCGATGAACATTTTGATCTGACTCGCTTCATTCTCTCTACGGCGAATGCTTTCAGTTCTCTTCACCTCCTCTCCGCATCCAGTCACACTGTGCATGCTCAAGTCATGCACAGTAAGTGCATTCTTACTTGAGATATTCGGTACACAAATAGTCACAGATTCGCAATTTTTATAGCATGCTCCTATGAGAGCACTTCCGAGGCTCCTCCAATTGATATGTGTCACTTTGCAAACAAGCAATGTGTTATTTTGATTCAATGTTGCTATTTTCCATGCAGAACCGCTGGACACGTTTCATCCGGATTGCCACCATCGTCGCAACAGCATGTGCCAGAGTATCGGCGCGGACGGTCGCCTGGGCTGCGTGTGCACGAGCGGATACCAGCCGGACTCCAACGGCGATTGCATGAACATCAATGAATGCGCGTTCCGTAACACCACGTGCACCGGATTCGAGACGTGCGTGGACACACCTGGCAGCTACTGGTGCAGCTGCCCGGACGGGTACAAACGCGACGCATTTGGCACGTGCAAAAACGTGGACGAGTGCCAGGACCGCTCGTTGCGGCTTCCGTGTGGAGAGTCCGGAAGCTGCACGGACACAAACGGATCCTATGTGTGTTCCTGCGGCGCTGGGCTTCGTGGCTGCGGCGCTAACTGCGCTGACATTGACGAGTGTACGGAGGGTACCCACACATGCAAGCTCCCAGGGCAGTCGACAGGACACCCTGGAGCCATGTGCGTGAACACCGTCGGAGGTTTCAAGTGCAAGTGCCCGGCCGGTTATAGCGGTGAGTTTCGTTTGTACAGTCCATTTCAAAACTATAGACGCGTACCTAGGCAAAAACCGTTATGCCAGCATCTATACCACATAAAATCTGTGATCACTTTGTGCATAATTTTTTCCAAATTGGGGATCTGTTATCCAATCGTTTAGAAACTATAATGAGAGTAATTGTGGAGCAGTCCTGAGCAATATTAACTATTCTCAAAAAGGTCCAGCCAAATTTGAAATATTTCAAAAACCCTACGCGTCTATAGTTTTGAAATGGTCTGTAGTACGTTGCATTTTGACCTCGCTCGTTCCTCATTTCGTTTGTTCATTTGTCGTAGGCGAAGGCTAGCCAAGCTTGCTTGGTGATGCCAATGTGAACAACCTTACAATAATATTATAAACCTGTCAATTTTAGGATATCGTTATACTTGCGATTCGTTAGGATGATAGGTTTTACAGTACATGTCATGTTTGTGACCAAATGAAGCCAACCCAGGCTTTCTCACTCCCTTTGCTCTCTGTCTGTCCCTGTCTCTGTCTCTCTCCCTGCCTGTCCCCTTCCTGTTTCTCTCTCTCTCTCCCTCCCTCCCTCTCTCTCCTTCTCTCTCTCTCCTTCTCTCTCTCTCTCTCTCTCTCTCTCTTCTCTCTCTCTCTCTCTCTCTCTCTCTCTCTCTCTCTCTCTCTCTCTCTCTCTCTCTCTCTCTCTCTCTCTCTCTCTCTCCCTCTCTCCCTCTCTCTCTTTCTCTCTCTCTCTCTCTCTCTCTCTCTCTCTCTCTCTCTCTCTCTCTCTCTCTCTCTCTCTCTCTCTCTCTCTCTCTCTCTCCCTCTCCCTATCTCTCCCTCTCTCTCCCTCTCTCCCTCCCTCTCTCCCTCCCTCCCTCCCTCTCTCCCTCTCCCTCTCTCTCTCTCTCTCTCTCTCTCTCTCTCTCTCTCTCTCTCTCTCTCTCTCTCTCTCTCTCTCTCTCTCTCTCTCTCTCTCTCTCTCTCTCTCTCTCTCTCTCTCTCTCTCTCTCTCTCTCTCTCTCTCTCTCTCTCTCTCTCTCTCTCTCTCTCTCTCTCTCTCTCTCTCTCTCTCTCTCTCTCTCTCTCTCTCTCTCCCGTCTATCTCACTGTGTACTGATAACCTTTGCTCAATCTCAGGCAATGGAGTGACTTGTGCTGACATTGATGAGTGCAGCAGCAGTCTTGGAGCGTCCGCCTGCTTGCTCACGCCATGCACCAACACCATTGGCAGTTTCTTCTGCTCATGCCATGACGGCTACACACGAGTGGACGGCGCGTGCGTAGACCAAGACGAATGCGCGGCATCGGACAATGTGTGCGGCAACGCGATGACGACGTGTGTGAACACAAACGGGTCGTTCGTCTGCAAGTGCGACGTCGGGTTTACGTTGAGGAACGGCATTTGCGTAAATGTTGATGAATGTGTGTTGGGCACGCACGAGTGTCATCGGCATCACGGTTTGTGTACGGACACGAACGGCTCTTACACGTGTGCCTGTTCGGCGGCCTTCGAGGGAGACGGGCGGACAAGCTGTCAGTTCTCCCAGGGATCCAGTGAGTTTCTGTTACGTGTGTGTGTGGGGGGGGGGGGGCTGTATGTGTGGGTCCGTGGGGAGGGGGGGGGGGCTTTGTGTGGGGGGACTGCATGTGTGGGTGTGTGTACGTGTATGCCGTCAATCCTTTTTCTGCATCTTGTTCTCATCCACTTACTGAGGTGTGGTGAGCTCATAGGTGTGATCATTTCCAAGTCCACCCAGAGTTTGGGGATTTTAAGGTGTTAGGCAGTTCAATAGCCAATTGAGTCATCTTTCCAAGATTGCTTTAAAGTCTCTCTACCCTCTCCTGGAGAGACCCACGTGACCAGTTTTGGCAGTGAGCAAGTTCTGTATAAGTGTGTGCACGTGTGGGTGGTTGGGTGTGTGTGTATGTGTGTATGCGTGCGCGCGCGCGTGTGTGTGTGTGTCAGTTTGTCAATGTGTCGCTGTATATATCTCACTGTGTGTGTGTACCTGTGTGCGTATGTGTACGTGTATGTACGTGTGTGTGTGTGCGCACGTGTGCACCTGCATGTGCCGTATCCATTACGCTCGTCTGTACGCGCAATTATTCTGCTGCTGTTTTTTCCCCCTGACTTTTGCTTTCTGATTGGCGCAGGCCAAAACCGCACCGTCATCAATTGGTTCCTCGTACTCGTGGTTGCCGGTCTCTTGCTGATTGTCATCGGCTTGATTATTGCCATCATTTACGTTCGGCGGGAGAAACAGAAGCAAGTCGTGCGCTTGCAGCAGATCAAACCGCGTAAAGCCAAGTAAGTGATAGCGCTTCCCGAAGTTGTTTATCAAACTTTGATACGCAGGCGTCACCATTTGTTTAAAGGTGCTTTGTCTCGCACTCGTACCTTTGGTTATCGGGACGCGGACGTTACGGGCACTCTGGTCTACCGGGGCACCCTTTTCGACGTGACTCAGTGGATATCTTACTACTCTTTGCCACTTGTCATGGAAATCGTGACGTCACGTGCCATATCTATGGCCTTTGCCCACCATCGAAATGCGTTTGAGTCAGAGTTACGGACACTTCAAAGGTACGTGTGGCCAGTGCCCGGTCCCGCGGCGTTCGGATAAGCGCGGTGTGAGTGTATTTGTGTATTTATTGAATTTTATTCTTAGACAAAGTGGCTGAAGTCCTTGCTGCAACTAGTGCTCAATACCCGAACACGGGCAGAGCGTTCTACGCAAGGCAGAACCACAGAGACCAAAAATCTTTCTTGTAACTCCGAGTTTCGTGTTAAAAAAAACCCACATCAGACTATAATAAATATTTTTTCAACATCTATCCACAGTCAGGTGGCACTAGCCAATGAAAAGGTGATGTGGGCGATAGCCAGCCCAGCCTTTTTGTTTCCATTTTTGTTTGGGGAGTTGTTTTGGCAATCAAACGTCAGCAGCAACATCAGGATTCTCAAAGGCCCATTCATAATACAATCATTCCTCTTTAGGGTGAATACCAGCGGACGGATGGTAACCGTTTGCAATATCAATGTCCGCATCTGGAGTTTGCATCTTATTTCACCTTGCATGGTCGTCCCTACTAACCAAGCTGTTGGCTAGAGGTGATTTGCCTGTGTTGCCAATGTCATTTCTCCTGGCAATGTTTGACCCATATTTGGATGAAAGTCTTGAATGGACCCGGAAGTCAGATTCAAGCCAGATTTTGAATGCGAAATTTTGTCTGAAGTTGCCACTGGACTTATTGATATGGGTGAGGTTGGCAGTGAGATCCCGAGTTCGAGTACTCTGTTTTCCTCCGATCGAAAATTCGAGTATTCGAATGCTCTTCATCTCCTAAAAATTGTACACCAAGGTCCTTTTAAAAATGACATGATACAACCCTGATTGAGCGGATTGGCAGTCTTTTTTTTCTTTTTCCGTTTATTGGTTGGTGGGTCATTTGGTCTCTCTCTACTGGTGTAGGAATGTTAAAACCACATCATCTGCACACCAATATCTGCTGACAGCTGCTCTGAAATTGCAGATTTCTGTGCTAAATGCATGTACAGTCAGACCTCGCGTATCCGGTCCTCTTTTACTCGGATCCCTCGCCATCCGGAAAAAAAATCGTTGGTCACTGATTTACAGCATATGCCATGCATACATACAGCATGTGTGTTCGATTATCCGGTTCCCTCGCCTATCCGGATATTTTGTGGAAAACGAATGTGTGCGGTTAAGTGAGGTCTGACTGTACTTTGTAAGACCCAATACTCTCTGCTTCTGGTTTATTCCGAGAACAATATTTTTTTTGGGAAAAAACGAGCTAGTACTCGAATATTCAGTATGATTGTTTCACCTCTACTTTTTTATCGCACTTATCTCAAAATCTCATTTTTTCCCAAATTTGGCGCTTACAGAGTTTTGCCTTCAACCTCTTCAAGCTCTTTTCCGAGAGTGAAGAGGCTACAAGCACAACACTGGACTTGAGAAAGTCGTGGATTAAAACGCCTGTTGGTCTAACGGGGATTTCCCTGCTTTCTGTTTTTGCATTTGTTCTCCCCGGTTCCTGTAGGCCTGTGAATAAAACTATGAGCACTGTTGCACTGGTCAACAAGGAGTCGGGCGAGTCCATTTACAAGAAACCAGCGTTCTATAACATGTTCAAGAGAAAGCGTCTCAGCGGCGACGATGACCCCGACTACACCGGTTTCAAGTCCCGACCGGCGGGCGTGCAGGACGAGATCGTCTTGGACCCGACGGGCGACGGCGGCGACATGCAGCAGGACAGTTACGGCAAGGTGTCGGCGTCCGCGCATACGCTCATGGACACGGCGATGACGTTCAACAGCGAGTCCGTTCACACCATGGACAGCTACACCAGCGACTCCATACTGAGCCCCGGCAACAGCAGGCATCGTGGCCAGGCAAACGTGAAACGCACCGTGTCTACGGCCCTGGCCGCCATTCGCCGCACCGACCGCTCCGACGACATGACCGAAGAGGACGAGATGCAGGCGCGTATGGACATGATGGAGAACGGCATTTTGGCGCCCATCGCGCCGGGCCAGGTCATTCTGGAGGAGCCGCTGCTTCGCGAGCAGGTGTTCACGATGAACGATGGCAGTGTCATCCCCGTCTCGCTGTTCAACACTAAGATTGACAAGAAGGACATGCTCTTCACCATGGTTGGGTGCGATGCCGACGGACAGTTGGCCCTGTTCAACGCCAAGACGTCCGGCCTGATTGCCGTGGCGACGGCGAGCGATGCCACCCGCACGCTCAAGTTCACCGCGCGCAAGATGGACAGTCGCATCAAGCAGGCGCGCAGCATCGTCTCCACCGCCTGCAGGCGCGTGAGCCTGGACGTGGACCTCAAGAACATCAAGTCGCTGATGCGCGCACCCAACGGGGAGCTGGTGTTCTCCACTGACAGCGGCTTCGTCGTGCCCACCACGGTCTTCCAGGTGAATATCAACGACAAGCAGGCATCGCGCTACGCCGTGGCCACGACCGCCAACGGCAAGTCGTTTGTCCTGGTCGACCTCGACGAATCGGACGTTCTGGACACGGTGGGTGTGTCTGTTGCAATGGCCGGCATCGGTAACGCGCAGCAAGCGGAACACGATGAAGCGGGTCCAGTCGACGGCACCGCCAAGACGTTTGCGACGCGAACAGGTAGTATGACGAATAGCGAGGCCGAAATGTATAGCTCGGTGTACGCTCTCTGGGACGACAACAAGAAAGAGGTCAGAAAGTACCTGCCGGCCGTGAACGAGTTTGGCGAGACCGTGTTCAGAGACGAGAGCGGATTCTCAATCCCGCTGAGCCTGTTTGGCGTTCAGCTGAGCAGCAAGGACCTGTCATCATCGTTCGTGATGAGAGCCGGTAACGACTCGCTGGCTTTGTACAAGGCTGCCAACCAGCCGGCACTGGCCAGCATCGACAGCAAAGTTCTCCATCAGTACTTATCCACACAGCAACAGGCAGCAGGCCAACCGTGCACGGTGATCAAGGGCCTGAACGGCGCGCCGTCCTTCATCGAGAACACTACCGGTACCGCAGTGCCGCTTTCCCTGTTCGGCGTTCCCCTCGGTGCCCAGGAGCTTGCCACGTGTCGCGTCGTCAAGACTGCCAACGGCTCATTCGAGCTCTACATAGCCGACAGCCCGACACCTGCTGGCAAGCTCGACTGGAGTAGAGTGCAGCAGTACCTCAGCAAGCCCTCGCCGCCAGTCAACACGGCCAGAGTCGGCAACGTGAAGCGCGACGAAACCGGCGCGGCAATCTTCCTCTCGCCCAACCACTGCATCAGCGTGCCAGTCTGCGTGTTTGGCGTGCAGATGGACGCGCAGGCGGCCACTAGCCGCTATGATGTCACCGTCGCCGAGAACGGCATGGCGGCGCTCTTCGACCTGACCACGTCTGAGGTGCTTGCCGTCGTCGACATGTCCATTGTTATGGCAACCGGAGCAACGACGGCCACTCGTCAACAGATTGACAAGAAACTTGCACACACCGTCACCATGGCGACCACAGAGGACTTCGGTGAGGAATACTCCACGATTGCGTACGCGCCGCACCAGCAGGGCCACTCGAAGGGACTGCAGGCAGACAGGAACCAGGACGCCACGGGCCGCGCTCAGGAAGCGTGGGTGGCCATCGACGAGGACGGATCTGAGGAGTACTCGTCCGTCACTCAGAGTGCTCCGCGACGCGTCAAGGCTAAACGCGACGGTGGTGCTGGCACCGATCTGGCATTCATGTCCGCTGCGGTGAGCAGTGAAGACGGCACTGGCGATTCCATCTACGACGCTGTCAAGACGACAGACATTCGCTTCGCTTCCCTGGCAGCCACGGCAACGCGTGTGGAGAAGAAGTCCGCCAGTCGCCAGAAGGGCCCTGTTCGCCAGTTGGCCAGGCAGGTGACACGCTCCTCGTTCTATGGAACGCGTCGCCGCAATACGGAGGAGAGCAACTACGGGTACGCGGCCTTCAACACGCTGGTCGACCAGGCGGAGAAGCCCGCCGAGGCTGCCCTCAGGACTGTGACCCCACTCGAAGCGGAGAACCCATACGCGCTCAACGAGTCGCTGACGGAAAGGATGTACGAGTCGCGTGGCGCCATGATCAAGCAGCAGGTCCCACTGGGCCCCTGAGCACAGCTGTGCCGCTTGTTCGGCTGCCTGTGGTGTCAGTCCCAGGGCAGAAACAACCCAGGCTGCGGCCAACCTACCACCTCTGCATTCTAACTTCACATGAGCTGCCGAAAGGGAGCACACTCGTCTGAATTTTTTGCTCCAATCATAATTTTCCACTTGCGAGAACCATGGCTTATGGTAATATAAATGTACAAGATTATTTATCGTCTACACATTATTTTGGTCATGAATGACACATTATTTTTGTTCAATATCTCAACTTTGATCAATTGTAATCCTGGTTGATGGCTGTGCTTCCTCCTATGTTCATTGGATGACACTATAAGAACCATTGCCGAGACCCGCGTGTTGTGCACTTGGAGGTGTTCATGTCTGTCTGTCTGTCTGCCTTCGATTCACCACTGGTGTCTTGGCCGATAACAGAGCGACAAGGAATTCGGCCCGACGGCCATGTGTGGGAAATGATAACAGTGAATGTCAGCAGAAAAATTGGCAGAATTCGCTGCTGATACGTTTCATACATGTTTGCTATTTAGTATGGATAAAGGAGTGGAGCAGAATTCAAGGAAGTTCCTGCCATACGGTTTGCATGGTTCTGCCAACTTCACTATGTTCCTCAAGCAGAATGTGAATATTTTTTTAATCTTTATTATCCGCCACACGTGTACAGGCTATGTAGATATGTGGCACTGACGTTTGTCCATACCCGAGTATGCACTTGTAGCAGGGAGTCGTAAAATACCGACTCCCTGACTTGTAGTATGTAAACTATACATTATAGTAACTGAGTACAAGTACTCTTTCAATATAGGAAACAAAAGCCGAGCTTTGTCTGTCATGATTGACCTAGTGTGAAGCCAATCTCAGATTTACAAGTACATGTATCACGGCGAACCAAAGCAAGTGTTCAATCTCTTTTAAAAATGAGTCAAATTAGCAGTCAATATAGCCCTTTAAGTTACCGTATTATCATTCAAAAAATAATGTGCTCAGTCTCCATTATAAGCACACCGTGTAAATTCATTATCTGTACCGGCGAAAAAACCCTGAAATGTGTATGAATTTGGCATGGCAACATGCCTCTGAAATGAGGTTGAAATAATAATGGAACAGTCTCCAATAAAGGAACGTCTCCATTAATAGCACGGGGCGGAGGTACATTGAAAAAATGAAGGACCGTGCTTATATTAGAGATAATACGGTAATAATATCTCTCTCTTATCATGCATTTCAAAATTATGTGAACGAATATTTTATGATCAGTTGTATAGCCATGTTGCCCCTGCCATTCACCCTGCTCAGTCTGGCTTTCGTCGTGGAGACTCAACTTCACTGCAGCTGACTCGCCTTGTACAGGACATCATCGGAGCAAGAGCAGAAAAGCTGTACACGGGCATTTGCTTCTTCGATCTTGCCAAGGCGTTCGACACAGTGTTGCATAGAGGTCTCTTGAGGAAGCTTCAAGTCATATTTAACATCTCTGACACACCGTTGAAGTGGATAGAGAGCTATCTTTCTGGGAGAAGCCAGTTTGTGTCCGTGTCGGGAGCAGACTCTCCAAAGCTACCCGTGCTGTCGGGGGTGCCTCAGGGCTCAATTCTTGGACCAATGCTTTTTGTTTTGTATGTTTAAAATGATCTACCAAGTCATGTTTCTGGAATGTCATTGTTTGCTGACGATACAGCTGCTTGGCGCCACTGTAAAACTGTCAAACAGCTTGAGTCAGAGGTGCAAGACGCGATAAATATGATTGTCACCTGGATGTCCAGTTGGAGGCTTCAGGCAAACGTTTCAAAAACCAGAGTACTGTTTCTAACAGATTCTGCCTCAATGTTTAAGTTCACCTTTCCCAATTCACCCACAGAAATTCAGACGGTAAAGGAGCACAAACACCTAGGGGTAATGTTCGATTCATCCATGTCCTGGTCGGCTCATGTAGATTACATTTGTAATAAAGTCAGCCGTGCTCTTGGCTATATTAAAAGTCATTGTAAACATCTCTCTATTCCGTGCCGTTCCGCTATATATAAAATTTATCTCCTTCCATTGTTTGAATATGCTGCCACAGCCTGGTGTGGCCTAGCTAAGGTCTTATCCGATTCCATTGAAGTTCATCATAAGAAAGTTTTAAAAATTTTGTTCTCGAAGAAACCTTCCTTTCCCTCCAATGAGTTGTACTTATTAGCTCAGACTACTCCGTTAGAGCAACGTCGACTAACTTGCCTCTGTATATTGGTTCATCGAATGCTCTTGGGTTGTGTTCCTGAACATATAAAGCCTTATAACTGGTTTGTTTCGGGCCGCTCAACCAGAAACAAAGTGTCTCTTCCCAAGGCCAAGTCAACGCAATTCACAAGATCGCCATTCTTCCAGGCCTACTGTGCATGGCTACAACTTCCCGACTCAGAGAAGACTTCTGCATCATTGAAAGAATTTAAAGTGAATCTGAGGACCTGCTGATGACTGAGTGCACCATAATAATAATACTTGCAAGTAAAAACTAATCAATGTAGCTTTTCGGCTGTTTCCTTTTCATGTATATAATCTTCTCCTTCTTTTACCATGGTTGGCTATCACCCACATCTTCCCGTTTTGGCTGTCATCGGAAGCCATAAGATGTTGAATAAATAAATAAATAACGGAGTGAGATAATAAATCAGGAATACAGTGCGTATCGGTTATAGCGTGGTCATGTAAAAGAATATACTGTCTACAAGAATGAACTCTCATGTTTTCATAATCATAACATGGATTTCAAGTGCACATTTATTCTTACAAGCAATTTTATCGTGAAAAGAATTCGGGTGGACACACCCATTCCCATGGCGCTGCATATCACATCCGAACCAGTTCCGTTATTTTACAACGTTTCGGCACTTGGCCATCGTCAGGTAATAACAATGAATACCGTGGAAGCCACACAAGAGCAGTATATAAGCAGAGTGTAGCGCCAAAAAAGATGCGAATTATGTCACCTAGTATGACAGAGAGAGAGAAAAGGCGCAACTAGCACATCACGGAGGAGAAGCAGCAGAAGGTAGCGCGCATTGTGCTCTGTACAAAGCGTACAAAGCGTTTCAGCTGCGGCCGCGAGGGCCTAGGGCCCAGCCAAACGCGCGCAACGGTACATGTGTACAGCCTCTTTTACGGGCAAAATAAACACAATTAATATTTTTCCCAAGTGTTCCAAAAAACGTCAACTCAAAGTCCTAGAAAGAAAAAAAAGGCAGAAATACGCAAAAACAAAACCACAACAGCATAACAATGTACATACCTACATGTACTCCCCTCGTCAGACAGCACTTCAGTATCTCCCAGTAAACAAAGTCACAGCCCCTACTCCCCACTTCCGCTGCATAGTTCGCTGAGCATCCCATTGCTTGGTAAGTTGCTAATCCCTTCCCATTTTGTGTACGTGGTCTTCATTTTCTTTTTTCTCTTCTTCCTTGGTTGGTCTCACCCTCACCCCAATTCAATTGTCTTGACATGCCACGAGGTGCAGAAATAAATAAAATAATAATAAATAAACAGCAGCAAGTAACAGCTCAACTTCAAGTCAATAATCCAGTCACTGATACCGCTCGGTTGATAAATAATTATGGTGGTAAAAACACGCGGTAAATACACGCCTGCCCACACACGCTCTCTAAGCTGCAAAGTTCTGGCACAGAGCTCTCCTTCTCACCACCACCACCACCATCAGTTCGCGCCTGGCGCCTAGTCGATGCATGGTTGGCGGTATCCGACATGATTGATTGATTGATTTTATTTTACTTCGCAAGTTCAAACGGCTTCCTGGCCCAGTTATATGAAAGCGAAGGATAGAATTTGCCAAAATCCTAATGAGCAACAGCATAGGCGATATTATCATAGAAGTGGAGTACTATGCGAGCGAGAATACTGAGAAGAAAAGGAACATGTCAAAACCTGATGAAACACAACCTATTCCAGGCATACATAAGGAAGGCAGGCTAGTCCAGGCATACATAAGGAAGGCAGGCTAGCTTAAAATCTTGCAATCTGGATACGGTGCGCACCTCTCTAGGCAAACTGTTCCACAGCAATGCTCCTGCGGTGGCGAATCTCGTTTGGCCACACCGACTGCGAGCTGGCTGGCTGAGCAGACCATTGGCATGCTGATGGCGCGTACTTCTGCCGCTGCATGCTGCTGGTTTGAGAAGCTGGGCTAGAGCAAGGCTAGTGGAGTCATTTAGACACCGCCAGATGAAGATCAGGAGCTTTTGCTTAAAAATTTCAGTGACGCGGTAAATCGAGTTGGCAGCCAGGAGAGGCTGCATCGCGGAACATGGCGGGCTGCCATCAATGCATCGGATCGCCCGGTTTTCCATGGTGTCTTACACACACGTAAAGTACCCACGGATTATCATTATTATTATTATTATTATACGCATTCCCGCGTTGAAGTGTAGCAGCAGTATGCTGCGTCCACAGCTTTGCTTATGCAGAATGGCTTGAGTGAGAGGAGAGGGGAGAGAAAGCAACAAGGCAACCAACATCTATGAAATTGGTCACAATAACATGAAGAGAACCAACCTACATATGCATGATTGCACAAGAATGGAGACGACCAAATATAATGGCTATAATCATTGTGCCACAAAACCGGTACACAGGAGATCTGACGACAATGTAACGAAACATAAAACTCAGTTACTCAATACAGGTTCCACTAAATTACAAGAGAACAACGCTACAACGTTAGAATTGCCCCCCCCCCCCCCCCGCGGATTACGTGGGACTAAACCTCCCTAATTTACAGAAGAAAACGGTATCTACAAAGAGAGCGATAGATGGGCTGGGTTCATAGATTGTGGACAGTTTTCAACGAGTACTTACTCAGTGGCTTCCTCTGCGGGCAGCTTCAACTCTCTCTGCCAGCTTCTCGCGCTCACGGTTTGAATACTCCTTAGCCCACGCAATTTGCGGGTCGTTCAAGGCAGAGGCAGGCTGGTCGATCTACATCAAGTAGCACATGGCACATAGAAGATGACACAGCAACGACACTCTCTCTAGCTCGATTGCGACGTACGTTTCGTCCCCGCTGGACTCATCAGGAAATCTTCTTCTTGGATGTCTTCATACGGAGCTTGACTCGGGGGAATGAAGTTGAAAGCAGTTATGGTTGATAAATATGGTGGTAAAGACACACCGCTCGTGCACGCTAGCCCGGTACCCAGGCCTCTACCACTGCCAGCGCAGCAGAGGTATCACCCACAGCCAAGGCAGACTGGCTAGAGAGCCTTCTGCACCCTCGGAGGCACATGATGCAGGACCGCAAGAGGGAAAAAGCGATCCTGCACCTGATGAAAGTCTTCATGATAGTACTGCTCCCCTCTCTTGGCCGCAAACAGAGAGGCCACTCGTTTGTAGAGGGCTGTTGCTGCCTTGCCCATGCCTAGCGCCTCCGCTCGCGGGCATCACAGCCGGAACAAAAGTGGCATGCTCCACTTGTCTCGCTCTCCCTCTCTTCGTAGTGACTTCTTTTCTCTCTTTCGTGTCGATGATACAGACAGTGGTACGTGGTGCAGACTGATTTGAGCGAGAATAAGAAAAAACCCGGACATCAAAAAGGGTTCGCTCAAATCTACTGCCCCACAAACCACTGGCAGCGACATCAAGGCGTGCATGATCCTCCACGTAACTCGTTGGCCGTTCGGCATGCTCACCGCGGTCAGTGGCGCACATTGCTACCGACTTGGTGTAGGAGCTGTGCGGTAGTGTCACGGATGTGCCCGGCGTACGTATGGTGGGGAAACCCTCAATAACACCGAAACCGTGCCATTTGTAGGCACCATCAAGCTGCGAGGTACTCTGGCGCCGCACGGGTGCCCTGGATGCAAGAACATCCGAGGCGGACCCCATTGTTGCACCCCTGTCTGCAAGTAGTTTTGCGCCGGGTATTCTTATAAGGCGACGATGTGGAAATCCAGCCACTCCGGGAGCCAGATAGAGCACCGCAGCGAAGCTGACACCGATGCATTAGCACACCAATGCTTTTTTTACGACTCTCACCGAGTCCCGATGAATTATTTGAAGGCCGTTTAGGGCATTTGGAAAAGACTCTTGTACGGCATTTAGTATGCTGGGGACGGCACCGAGGCTAAAGACCATCGAGAAATGATTCGACAAACAAGTTCATGCTGTCGAAGCGTTGTGGACAATTGTTCTTCTCGTTCTTTCAGTAAAATAATACTTAGATCTTGTGTTCGTGGTATGGAGGCCGCTGGTAGGGATACCGCTATCACTATCTCTTGCTGCTACTGACAAGCACCCATCGCAAGGTAAGCACAGATGTTAGGCCGAGGGAGGGGGGCAATATGCCAAACATTCCAATAAAATTATTAAGAACTAGAACGAAAGCCGGTAATGGCTCGTGTTTATAGCTCCATGTTCACATCCCCTACTCCCAGTCCTGCAAGTCACGGAGATTTGGTCGGCGCTCACTTGGGTCCTGTACGAAAAGAGTGAAATGAACGAACGCGGTCCGTGCCGAGTTCTCTGAAGTACTGTAGTTGGTGTGGAGATCAGGTTCACGATGCAGGACTTCGATGCTGCAGTCACAGTGGCGGCCACAATACATTCAATTATTTGTATGTCCGTTGTCCGCTGCCAGTTGTCGCCCACTAAACAGTACAGTAGGCAGGTACCAGGCGCGTCGCACCGACTTTGGAGGTGGGGCGGCCATGGAAGGGGGGGGGGGGGGGGTCGGGAGGTAATCCCCCGGGAAAAAAATTCAAAAAATGAAGCCAATAGGGCTTGAAAGTGATGACGTCAAAAACGGCCAGGGAGTAGTAAGTTGACATCAGATTTCTATTTTGGATCCACTAAGGTGTGACTTTGCTATTGCCTCAGTATGTGGGTGCATAGCAACCCTCTCATGTCGTATGCAGGGGTGACTTTTACTTCGCCACCAGTTGTAACCCCGCCCCCAGTAGCCAAATCAGTCAGTTTCACTGGTTACATCACCTTGCTGTGAGTAAGACGGCTTGAAATGTGCTTGGATCCATACAAAAACTGGACCCAAGTGGATCCAATTTTTGAATTTTTGAAATTGTTGCTACGCTGTGACGTAGCACTTTCAAGCCCTATTGCAAGCATTTCCGGGCATTTGGTGCCATTTCAGTGTACGGTAACTACAATGAAAGACTTTTTGATTCTGCAAAAAACCAAGAAGATGCTACGATCGGGGACAAACATTAACCTCCCCCGGGAAAAAATTCAAAAATTGAAGCTAATTGCAAGCATTCCCAGGCATTTGGTGCCATTTCAGTGTACATGGACTTTTGATTCTGCAACAAACCACGATCGGGGACAAGGATTTGCCACGTTTGCGCTGAGATCATCGCGCTTTGTTGCAGTGTGCAAAAAAAGGCCGAAAAAGTGGGGCGGCCATGGCCGCCCCGGCCAGTGCGATTCCGACGCCCTTGGGTACTACTAGGCGGGCGCTGCGAAAATAAGCCAGCGGAAAGTGCTTGGCTGTGCATGTACATTGTACATGTATGTGCCTTGGTGGCGGACAGCATCCGTTCAGCTTGGCTGCTGCCAGTAACAAGGACTTCAGCGGCGTGAGACTGATCAAATTTTAATGCTGTAGTGATGACCGTTAACTGTATGTGTATGAATACAGTGGCTGCATGCAGGGGCATCGGAAGGTAATTTGGTGTGGTACGGTCAGCCATCTGAAGTACAAGTTACTCGTGAGGGGGGGGGGGGGGGGGGGGGATGGCTGAGCCGAAGATTTCGGAAATTTAGAGCCCAAATCAGTGCATTTCATTGATTCACAGGGTACTTGGGACAAATAGTGGTACGGTCAATACCGTAGTAAGCGTACCGTGTGCGACGCCCCTGGTATGTAGAGGTGGTTCGTGCAGGAGTATTAGGTCAGCACCGCTGTTCATCCAGGCCTCTAGTATCGGTGCGTGGGCTAATTGAACAGCTGAACTGTCCGAGTAGGAGCGACTGGAACCTGTTCCCCATAGTTAAAATTTCAGTCAGACCTCGCTTATCCGGTCCTCTTTTATCCGGATCCCTCGCCATCCGGAAGAAAATCGTTGGCTACCGATTTACAGCATATGCCATGCATATATACAGGATGTGTGTTCGACTATCCGGTTCCCTTGCCAATCCGGATATTTCGTGGAAAACGGATGTGTGCGCTTAAGCGAGGTCTGACTGCATGTGCACTTAAGCCACAGAGATAGTTAGCAACCACGTGCACATCGGTATGATAACGTGTTGAGTTAGAGTGATAGGAAGCGTGTTTGCTTCCCACACTGCCTTTCTGTCGACTTGCTTGACATTTGACTGACTCGTGGCTGCCATCCAGCGTTCCGGAGCGGGGGAGGCGGTCAAACACCTTTCCTATGAGTATGAAATCATCGCTGAAGACGCTACCCGTTACTCGCATACCGTGAAATCCCGCCAGAGCGCCCCTACATCCGCACCCATTCGAGTAGAGCCATTTGGGGAGGGGCAGATAGGCGAGTCCTACGTTCTGCATTCATTACTACTGTACATAAAAAAGTACTCACCCTACGAAAAGTACTCACCCTACGAAACCTGTCCATGTGTCTCCTACACCGACCAAAGGTCAAGAGCTGGGAGTCGTACACACCCGTCAAAGCTCTAGGTTTTGTGCGATCCCTGGTGAAGACGGTAGGAACTGTTGGGTACATTACCAACCAGGTCGAGGATGTGTCTGCAGTTCAGTATGGCCTCACGCACTTCACAGAATCATACGAAGATGCAACCATTATCAGTTTCCTGACAAGAAGTCGGGGAGGGGCGCATGGAAGAGACAGGGCGCTCTGGTGGGATGTTATACACCGGTCCCTTTATCATCTGGCACCATCTGTGCCATGACAATTTCTGCTGGATTAGGGAGAGCGCTGGATAACAAAACTGATTTATTAGTCAGGGGCATGAAAAGGGCATTAAAAAAATCGTATGCTGCTGTTCTGAGTGATAACACTTATTTGTAGCACAAACTTCAGGCTCTTAAACAAGTTTGTGCTACTACAAAGTATTATAGCTTCTGTGTTGTCTTTTTTTATATATTTTTTTACTATTATTCACAAACCCAACTCGTAAAATAAATAATTATGTGGACAAAAACAAACAGCTACTGAGCGGGGGCTGCACTGGGCAGCAGTGATGGTGAGGTACCAGGGGCTCCACCGACCAAAGGTCTCGGCTTCAATGCCACAAGCACGCACCAGTCTCCGAGGAAACTGTTTACATACCGTATCATCACGTATGAACGCCGTGCTTATTCCTGTAGAAGCCATTGTCAGTGCTAGGCTTCTATTCAAGTCAGATTCGAACAACGTACCCCTATCATATATGTCAATACTAAACCAGGCTTTTATGCTGACAGCGTATCTTAAAAATCAGGCTGGTATTCAGAACAGGCTTGTATTCAGAACAGGCTTGTATTCAGAACAGGCTTGTATTCAGAACAGGCTTGTATTCAGAACAGGCTTGTATTCAGAACAGGCTTGTATTCAGAACAGGCTTGTATTCAGAACAGGCTTGTATTCAGCACAGGCTTGTATTCAGAACAGGCTTGTATTCAGAACAGGCATGTATTCAGAACAGGCTTATAATACTGGACAGGCTTTAATACAGGACGCTACAGTAGGTGTGCTGAGTGTTGGGGTTATAACGTTTTTGTATTGTATTTTATTATTTTCCTTGGGCATTCCCAACAGACCCTAAGGTCTTCTTACAGGGTGCCCAAGATGAATGAAATTGTTATGCGTACTGGTCAAACGATGGGTGACTGTACAGGAAATCAGCGAAACCACATAACTGTACAAAGGGCTGGTGCTCTTCTGTCGGAAGACATCCGAAAGGCGTCCGAAGGTGTTTCCGGGCCAGGGGCCGGGTGGGTGCAGCGCTCTCTATAATTATATAAGCCAAAGCATTTTTCTTTTTTAGGATTCCATTTTAAAGAGCCTGAAACAAAAGCAGGGTTCTAGCCAGATCAAAATAGTAGAGGGCGGGTAGGGGAAACAGTTACTCCGCAGCCCATTTTTATTTTTTGCAAAAATTGTCTTGCCATACAAATACATGGCGAACCCTCGACTGCACCTCAGACAAATGTGCCGCTATGAACCATCTAGTAGTGACTATCGACTGCATTTTCATTAAATGGCATGAAGCAAATTCGACGAATGAGTAGGGGCGCCATTTTTTCCACAGGTTAGTGGGGGGGGGCTCTATCAGAGGAGGAGGGCATTGCCCCCCCCCCCCTACTTTGGCTATAACCCTGAACAGACTAGGGCACTTGCGAGAACACTCCTATTGTGAAAGTGGGGTACGTAACTTGAGCTCTACTAACGGAGGTGCTCCGGCAGTGCATTAGTGTACACATGACTCTCTTCCTGCATCATGCACTGGCACGTTTTGAGCTGCCAAGGGCAGCTCCGTGATTCTAAAACTACGCATGACGGAACACGGACCCGCGTGCAGTGTACTTAAGGCTTTCCGTAGATCGATTACGTCTTTTACTGACGTTATTAAGTTGTGCGGAACCTCTCTTATGTAGAGCGAAACCTACCTGTTCTCATTGGGGAGAGCGTGCGACAGACGGGGAAATGTCCTTAGTGACTCCATTGGAGTTATCGGATAAAAAAAGGTTCATCGCAACCAAAATTGAATGTTTGAAAGAAAACGCTCTGATGCTCTCGGTTGTGAAATGTGGTTGGCATAAACCCTGCTTCCCTATGCTTGGCTCGGTGAGCCGGGATGGCTTGTTCATCCGCAATGTTTGGCTTGTGATGGTGAAGGGGTTTTCCATGTTTCGTGCCGACGGAATTGGACTGTGCGAATCACAGCACTCACACTGGGTCACTATGTGGCATTGGGTGATTGGAACAATGCACAGAGCACATACCCAGACGTTGACCCAGTAGTAGTAATATGTTGAGCCAGTAGTAGTAATATGTCGACAGAAAAGGACCTACTGCAGTATACGGTAAGGGGTCGTCGCAAAAGTTTTTTTGTCGTCCCTGAAATGAACATGATTCATTTGGGGGGGGGGGGGGGGGGAGGGGGTGCGAGCCAAAATCGCAAGTCGACCGACACTGTACATATGACATGTACATGCATGCGATTTTCGTCGTCCAGCATAGCAAGCTGTGTTCGTTTCAGAGGGAGGGGAGGGGGTCCGAGTACGAAATGAACGATGTTAGCTTCAGGGACGACAGAAAACGTTTGCGACGACCCCTAAGTTACTAGTTACGACTAACACACTCTGACTGTGTATTATCACGTTACCTTGGTGATTAACACACTCTCACTGTGTATTATCACGTTGCCTTGGTGACTAACACACTCTGACTGTGTATTATCTCGTTACCTTGGTGACTAAACACTCTGATTGTGTATTATCTCGTTGCCTTGGTGACTAACACACTCTCACTGTGTATTATCTTGTTGCCTTGGTGACTAACACACTCTGACTGTATATTTTCTCGTTACCTTGGAGAACTGTTAATCATAACTAGTAACTTATAGGTCCTTTTCACTTTACAGAGCACAGACCTTTGCTCATTTCCTTTTTTCATTTAACTCTTGACTCTCCATCGCAGTATTAAATTAAGGAGTCCTTGTGCACATCCGGATATCTGTCGCGATAAAGGGCTTGGCACACTCATACCCCAGTTTTCTGGGCACCAAGGTTACGGACGCTTCTGACTTCTAGGTACCCTACGGTAGGCCTTGACGGATTATGCTAATATTTTCGTGAAATTATGCTTTTCGCATTGCTGTAAAAATACACCAGTCACCTGGTCACCGTGCCTGCAGGGTACAACTTACTAGCCTGTTTGACCTTTTTTGGGTGCAGTCCTGTTACTTGAGTTGAACTCGAGTTGAACCTTGGTGTGAAAGTTGTCGCCTGCTGGCGTGGTGACCCGGTGATTTGGGCACCCAGGAGCACGTGACCGCTTGTTCAACCATGTTCGATTGGGAGTAAAGGACGAACGCTGCATCGCACCCTTTTC